TGGGGCTTTTTAATAATTATAAAAAAGTTGGTCTTCACAAAACTTTAAGAGATCAAAACCTTTTATTTTTCAGAAGGTTCANGTGGGGCTTTTTAATAATTATAAAAAAGTTGGTCTTCACAAAACTTTAAGAGATCAAAACCTTTTATTTTTCAGAAGGTTCACGGTTCCCAAATTTTTAAAGCTAGGGTTTCAAAAGAATCAAAGCAAAGGCTCTTCTTCAGTTCTTCTTGGACATAAACTGCAATCAATCCTCTTCTTTAGTTTTGCTGGTATGCCTCTATTGCTCTTTGTCAATAATAATGCAATAATATTTATTAATTATAAGTTACAAGATTTGCCACTGCTGTTCTTGGTTCTTGCATTTTGGTTCCATATAAGAAACGCACTATCAGAACAAAACTTCACCCAAAAGGATGTGTTTTGACTTTTGATCTTGTCTTTTTCTTTTTTTTCACAAAGCAGTTCAGCTTATTTTTATAGAAAATAATTAGAGAAACAAGGAATAGAGAGATGATAAGATTGCTTTGTATTGATGGGTTTTGTCTTGATTCGACTTGTCTCCTAAGAAAATACTGCTCTATGTACTACAGAAAGGCGTGAAGTGTGAACCTTACATTGGGAAGTTTAAGATATAATAATTCAAATAATAATTAAACTTTAAGTAAATTAATGAATTTAAATTTAACTTTTTATATCAACTTAATTACTAGTCAATCCTTTCCTAAACTAATCTTACTTTTAGGCCTAGGGATATTGTATCATATTAACTCCAACTTCATAAGTACTTAAGTTGTTGAAATATTAATTTGGTTGGATTAAGTTTCAATTACACCTTGAAGTGTAATTTTTTTTTTTGTTGTGATTTTTAGGATCTTTTTAGTGAGTGTGGATATGATCACAAAATTTTTCAAGGCTATTCGAACTCCTCAAAGTTCTGGTTCTGGTTCTAGTCCTCCTACGCCGAGTTATTCTCCATGTCCAATTATTCATGACAATATTAATCCTTTGGCGGTATCAAACAAAGAGAAAATGTTGAATTTGAATCTTGAACCTGATCCCGCAGAAAGAAAGCAAATTTCAGAGTATCCTCCGAATTTACGTGACTAAGTGAGAAGATATTATATTCAACAAGGACCTTGTCAATCTCGTAATTGTAGTTTTTCAAAAAAGAGATTTTGGTGGATTTATGCGTCAATTTAATCTTGAATGGTTTAACACTTCATACTCTGGATGGTTAGAATATAGTGTTAAAGTTGATGCAGTATTTTGCTTATGTTGTTACTTGTTTAAAAATGAGCATGGAGGACATGAAAAAGTTGGAGATTCTTTCACAAAGAATGGTTTTAGAGCTTGGAATAAAGCTACAGAAAGGCTTAACGCACATATTGGAGAGGTGAATAGTCTTCACAATAGATGTTTTATGATGATGAGAGATTTAATTAATCAAGAGCAATCAATTCTAACCTCTTTTGACAAGCAGTCTGAAAAAATTAAAAGTGATTATCGAGTTCGGTTGAATGCTTCGATTGATGTGGCAAAATTTCTTTTAAAACAAGGAATGTCTTTCCGGGGCCACGATGAAGGTGAAACTTCTATTAAAAGAGGAAACTTTGTAGAACTCTTACAATGGTATGCAGATAGGGATGATGAAGTGAAAAAAGTTGTGCTACAAAGTGCTCCACAAAATAACATGATGATTGCTCCAAATATCCAAAAAGAGATCGTGAATGCTTGTGCGAAAGAAATAATTAAAGCAATAGTTGAAGATTTAAATGGAGAATATTTTGGAATTTTGGTTGATGAATCTAAGGACGTCTCTCATAAGGAACAAATGGCTCTTGTTCTGCGGTATGTCAACAAAGAGGGAAAACTTATTGAGCGATTCCTTAGTATTGTTCATGTTAAAAAAAATAACTTCATCGTCATTACAAAAAGCAATCTATGATTTGCTTTTAGAGCACTCATTGAGTCCATCTCAAATACGGGGACAAGGTTATGATGGAGCTAGTAACATGCAAGGAGAAATCAATGGTCTTAAAACTTTAATTCTGAAAGATAATCCTTCGGCATATTGTATACATTGCTTTGCCCATCAATTGCAATTGACTCTTGTAGCCGTTGCAAAAAAACATTATGATGTAGATCAATTTTTTGATATTGTTGCTAATGTCTTGAATATTATTGGAAGTTCTTTTAAGCGTAGGAATATGCTACGAGAGGATAAGGCAAAAAAACTAGAGGAGCTACAAGTGCTTGGTGAAGTTCATACAGGAAGTGGACTAAATCAAGAACTTGGACTCCAAAGGCCAGGTGATACCCGATGGGGTTCTCATTTTAAGACAGTGCGTAACTTTATTGCATTATTCTCGTCAATCATTAATGTACTTGAGTTTCTTGCAAGTGAGGGTGTAAATTATCTTGAGAGATCAGTGGCAAAAAGTCTAGTGAATGACATAAGATCTTTTGAGTTTGTGCATATGATACATTTGATGTTAAAATTATTAGCAATCACAAATGATTTGAATATAGCTTTGCAAAGAAAAGATCAGGATATTGTAAATGCTATGAAGCTTGTTGGTTTCGCCAAAAGGCAATTGCAAGTGATGAGAGAATCTAAATGGGAATCATTGATAGATGACGCCTCTTCATTTTGTTCCAAGCATGATATTGTGATCCCTGAAATGGATAAGAACTATCATCTTGGAAAATCAAAGCGTAGGAGTTCAAGTGTTACATATTCTCATCATTTGCGTGTCGAAGTTTTTAATACTGTTATTGATTTGAAACTTTCGGAGCTTAACAGTCAATTTTGATGCGGTGAATAGTAATCTACTTCTTGGTATGGCTAGTTTGAGTCCGGATAATTCTTTTGCAAATTATGATAAAGACAGAATTATGAAACTTGCTACACTTTATCCTCATGAGTTTAGTGGTTCAAAGCTTGAAGATCTCAGTTACGAGCTTGACAACTATATTCTCTTTGTGAAAGAAGATAATGATTTCTCTAACTTGAAAGGACTTGGAGATCTTTCAGAAACATTAGTTAAATGATTTGTACAAGACTTGGAGACTTGTGTTTTTGCTTGTGAAGTTAAGTCTGATATTGCCTGTCGCTACTGCAACAGTAGAAAGAGCTTTTTCTTCAATGAAGTACATCAAAAATGACTTGCGTAGCAGAATTGGTGATGAATTTTTGAATGACTGTTTAGTTTGTTATATAGAAGATGAAGTATTTGAAAGTGTACCTAATGATGCGATTATTGATCGTTTTCAAAACATGACAACCCGTCGGGTACAATTGTAATGGTGATATTTATTGAACATATATTATGTTAGATGGTTCGGTACTTGTTACATATATATTAAATATCATTGTTCGTATTTCATTCGGTTATTATTGTATAGTACCTTGAGTTATATACTAGAGTCTAAATCTTGAACCATAAAATTAAATTTCTGGATCCGCCTCTGCCAACAGAGGCCACTGGTCCATACACTTTGGACAAAGCGGGAGTAACTTCTTTAAGAATCAAGAAAGCTAAACATAGTTCCATATTTTCCTCTTGCTTCTTAATGTATATGATGTTACAGTGTAACGGGACGAGCTTTTCCCATGCTAATTTTGTGGTACATAATGTAACCCTAGATGTAGTATTAACACTAGGACCAAAACATCTTGGCTGTCACTGGTACAAAGACACTAGTGCAGTCTTTTTTTATGAGCTTAAAAATGTAAATGAATTGGGAATGCACAATTCACAAGTGCAATTCGAAGAGGTAAGGTCTCATAACCGCTCCTTCATGTGTTTACTTTTTGGATATTAATATACGAGGCATGGTCAATTCCAAACCCCCAACACCTACAGGCCAATATAGCATGAGGTGAAACTGGTTTCAATAAACAAAAACAAAATCAATTGGCACAAAGACAAAACGAAAGAGAGATTATCTTTAATACTTTTTTGTACATTCGTGATGATTATAGATACCACATGAGTTGCTATCATAGATAAAACAGCAAATAAACTTTGTCATATTAAAAGTCTAAAAAGTCGTGCCCAAAAAAGAGCACTGACAACCTTGCAATTGAGACTTGCAAGTCGGAGAAACCAAAGTGAAAGAGAAACCTCTCAGAAGAAACATCACTCGTGCATGGCAGTGTAATCACATCATTGCTCTTCTTTTTCTTTTTTATTTTACACATGTAATAATATTTATAATCCGACTAATTTAAAAAAAATTCCAGAAAAAAAACCAAGCGCACCCTAAATAAAATCCCCAACATTATTCAATAATGCTCTTATGCTTCTATACTTAGTTTTGCTGCTAAGCTTCTTTCTTCCTTTTTCTTGCTGCACTCCTCTCTCTCTCTCATGTCTTCCATTTTCAATTATTTAGTAGGCGTTTGGACATAAAAATTATAATTTTTGAAAAAAATTATAAGTATTTGGAGTTAAGTTGAAAAATTATATTTGAAATTTGAAATTATGTTTGGATATGTATTTCACTTGAAAAGGTTGCAGTTTTGTGAGTGGGGAAAAGTTTTTCTGAAAATTCTGAAAACTCATTTTTGAAATTTTTTCAAAAACTTGTAAAATTTTATGGACAAACATATTTTTGAAAAAACAATAATTGAAAAACGGAAAAAAATCATGTACAAACGGGGCCTTAGTTGGCTCCTTGACTACAAAGCCGTTTTGTTTCGACTTTGGTTTGTGCTGATTTAATGAATATGTTTTGTTGTTAGTAAATGTTTTGGTATGTCTGGAAGATTACTCTTACACATGATTATATCAGAAATTGACGTGGAATCTGAGTTTTGAAGTGGAAATATAAGAATTTGTTGTATTCAAATTTATGTTTTGTTCTTCAACTGTTAATTTTTAAAATAAAAAATTACTATGTTTATTATGGAAAGAACTTCGGTTGGTCGTAGAAAAAAACATCCATATCTCATTTCCTAAATAATTGAATGTCAGAAATTCTCTTTTGAATTTCCCAAAAAAAGGAATTTTCTTCCAAAAAAAAAAAAAAAAAAAAAAAAAAAAAAAAAAAAAAAAAAAAAAAAAAAAAAAAAAAAAAAAACTACAACTATCCAAACGCTTTTTCTTGGAGAAACTTTATTGAGCGTTTGGACATAAGAATTGTAAAATTCCGGAAAAAAGTGAAACAAAATTTCAAGCGAAAATGATATTTAAAAACTAGAGTTGTGTTTGACATGAATATAATTTTGGGTTGTTTTTTAAGTTTTGTGAGTGATCTGAATGATAATTTTGAAAAACAGATTTTTGGAGTTTTTCAAATTTTCGAAAAATTTCAAAATCCATCTTCATGTGAAAATTTAAAAATTTATGACCAAACACTAATTTCGGAAAAAAATAAAAATAAATCGAAAAAAAGTGAAATTTTTCTAATGTCCAAACGGGCTCTTAATATTTAAAAAATTACTTCGTAAAACTTGATTGAAACATTATCCTAATAGGCTAATAGCTTCTAAAAGTTGTTTCTTTGATGAAATAATACACAAACAAAATGAAAAGAGAGGATTGGAAAATCAAATGGACATAGTCCTACGTACTCCCTCCGCTCCATAACAAGTGACTTTTATCTTTTGACACACTCAATAAGAAAATACGAACTTTTAGAGAAAAAAAAATATTCACTAAATTAACTTTAATTAATTGTTACCTCTACATATTAGAATAGGTAAATAAGGGCAAATTTTGGAAAAATAAAATTAATTCCTTGTTAATTAAGTAAATGGACACTTATTTTAAACCAAAATAAAAAGGTAAAATGGTCACTTATTGTGGACTAGAGAGAGTAATAAGCTCTGTTTTAAAAGGCGTTTCTGGGGCGAGCCCCGGGGCGAGGCGTACCAAAAACGCCCCGGGGCGATGGTGTGGGGCGAAAGTCTCAAGAGGCGTACGCCCCGGGCGTTCGGGGCGCATTTTTTTTAGTAAAGAGTAAGCCCCATAAACTTTTTCAAATTAAAACAAAAATTATTGAATTAGTCCTTCATATAATACCCAAATTCTCAAAAGTCAGTTTGGTAATTACTCAAAAGGTTTAAAAAGGAGCTCAAAAGTATTAAATTTAAAAGTAAAGACCTTTTTTATTGATTTAAGCCATAATTCATGGGTTTTCCAATTTTTTATCTTGTCCGCTAGTATGCTAATATCTCCGAAAAGCAACGAATATTTTTTTTTTTTTTTTACAAATACAAAGAGAACTATATTTTTCTTCATAGCAGCAAATTTAAAGTTCAAATTGCAGGTTAATGATCCTTTTTGTTCCTCCATATAGAAAACTTTATTATTTTAGACTCAAATTACTTGTGCTTGTAAGTAACGTATAATAAATTGTTTTGATTAGTTTTTTGCGGGGATGAATCACACATATATATAGTTTTATTCAATTTTTATGCAATTTTACCTGTTTATAAATATTAACTGTCATTATATTATTTTATAAAATATTAAAAATTAAATACCTATGGGGCTTACGCCCCACTGAGGCATATGTAAAACGCTCCGCCTTACGCCCACGCCTTTTAAAACACCGGTAATAAACAACAATCACTTCTAATTAAGTTAAAATTTGCTACAAACTTCATCACTATATGGCGCTAAGTATGATTAGCAAGGAATATTGTTGTTTAACTATAGAATTTATCCGTCGTTAATTACTACTCACTCCGTTTCAATTTAGATGAGGTAGTTTGACTCAACACGAAGTTTAAGAAAGAAGACTTTTAAAACTTGTGGTCTTAAAAGCTTAAGAGGTAAAAGTTTTGTGGGTCATAACATTTGTGTGGTTATAAAAGTTTCTCATTAAGAATAAAATGAAGAATGTAAAGTTGAATTATTTTAAATTTTAAAAAATGTGTGATTGGAACATACTAAAACGGAAATTATCTTTTTTATTTGAAAGTGAGAGAGTATTTTTTTTAGTAATGAATTAAAAAGGCCCCACCTAGGAAAAACACCCCTCGTAAAGTCTCTCTATTTGGATTTATCATGTCTACCCCACTATATATTATTGACAATTAAAAGTTCAATGCCCATATTTTCAGGATACTTCCTTGACCCTTTTGTGTTTTCTCAAGTATCGTTATTCACGTTATCTCACCAAAAACCCCATTAATTTCAAAAGCAAAATATTGTACAGTCAGAACTAACCCCTTAAAAGCGAGGTCCTTTTTGACTTTTTCTGTGTATATACCAATTCTTTACTCAATTAAGCTATTCTACCACGACAAATGACAATTCATTTTCATAATAATTGTGGGACATTAGGCTTTTTGAAACCAGCAGCACCTGCAATTATTCAATTGCCAATTGGTTCTAATTGACTTGGTTTAAAGATGTTGAAAAAGGATAGTTTACTGTGGGATTAGATTCTTTGTTGAGGCCTAACCATAAATTGTATTAAAAAAATTAAAATTAAGCCTAATTTAACATCTCTCTAAGAAGACAATCGTACTCAATTAACGTGGGATATTTTAGCATATTGTTGACCTAGACATATGGAGCGCGAACACTCAAAATTGCAGACCAAAAGCAATGAAGAGTTTGACTATATACATGTAAGAAAAACTAACCCATGACGTGACATTTCTCAAAATTATGTAAAGAGACAACAATTCATTTCTTTAACTTAGAAATTTTGATTAATTGTACCTTGAAAGTCAGGGGCGGACCTAGCGTATTACCGACGGGTTCAATTGAACCCATAACTTTTGACACGGAATACAATTTTACATGTAGAAATTCATTAAACTTGTAAAAATAGTAGATATGAACCCATAACTTTATAAATATAATGAGTTTAATACTAAAATCTTTAAAAGCTGAACCCATAGAATTTAAATCCTGGATCCGCCTCTGTAATGAAAGTTTATTGCTTAAATAGTCGACTAAATTCAGTGTTTATTTTTTCTTGACGGTATACATAAATTATACATACACAGTTATACATAAATTATATATGAATTATACATCTAACGACTAATTTTAATTTAAGAGATTAAATTGACAGCTATTTGGATTAATTCTTACCCAAAGCATTTATTATAAAGATTTGCGGTGCTACTAAATCATTACTATTCATTAACATGACTGCAGCTACGAAACTTTAAGCATGTTGATTGTACTTATTAATTTCTGAGCCATAACTGGCTTCCATTGCTTCATAAAAAATATAGTTTTGGCTTGTAAATAAAAGAGGTATGAATAAGCGGCAATTTGGGAAATCTCGTCATGCTTTTCATTTGAGGGAATAAGGTCTTAAGTTTGACACGTGGAACAAAATCTTTTTTAATATTTAATCTCATACCATTTGATATACTTATTTGTCACCTAAGGTGGTTTTTAATTTGGTTGCAGTGGTCCTTTACACTTCGCTAAAAAGGTTAAAGTATAGATACCGATAGTATATTAATATATAAGTATTATAGTAGAGAACATTTATGCTTTAAAAGGAGCTTTATAAAAGCAAAGGAATTTCTACTTTACAAATGGGCAAAGGACCTTTTTTTTTAAGGTATGGAAGAGCTATAATTGGCTTACTATCAGAGGGATGTGAATTTGTGGGTCAAATCTTACTTTTTTTTTGCGCTCTCCAATTGAATTGCTTTTCCTGTAGATGAATCTTGTAAATTTGACCAATGATGTTTCATAGTCACTCCAGTTCTATTGCTATTATTATGGTTGATAAATCCCATGAGTTTTACTAATGATTTCATGCATGGAAATATTTTCAAGAAAAAATATATGTTAAAGCTTAATAATAATATTAGCAAATCGGAAGGTATTTTGATATAAAATTGAGTAACAAAGATTATTTATAATATATAAGCATTAGTTGGAGTGTGTAATTTAAGATAGTTGTAATGAGATTGAGTTTCGTCCACAATGGAAGGAAGTCATTTTTCTCCTTTTGATAGATAATATTTTTCTTGAAAATGATTTCCACTATACCAAGTAACACATAATGACTTCCTCCTACATATTACATAACATTTTCCTAGAAAATGACTTGTGTCCTATCAAACACACCCTAACTCTGAAAACCTTATGTCATTATATTTATTGGGCCGTGAATGGGTACATTTCAGTTCATGTTTGCTTTCTGGTCCTTATTCTGCGAGTTCAAGTTCTGAACTAGTTGAATAAAAAGAAGATTGAGAGTGAATTGAGGGGTTTACATATGTTTGTAGAGAAATAGAAAATATTGGAAAGGAGATGAGGAAATCGGAGAATTTTAATTTAACTGTAAGTCGCATCTTAAAAAAAACGACCTGCTTTAAAATATATTTTTTTTCTTTTTTGAAATTGCAGTTTTTAAAGGGAAAATACCAGTTATGTCCATTTATAAATAGCTTATTACAAAAGTTGGCTAATTCATAAAATATTACTAATATTAGCCAATTAGCTATTTGTAGCCAAAAAGGTCAAATTTTGCTTTCTTTTGAGTGAGGTGTTATCAGAATAGATTGGGTACATCTTAAGGAGCTTGAATCTCAGTTTTGGGATGATTTGGTGGAGTTTTGAGGTGGTTTGAATTGAAAATTCGAAGTAGAAGGTGAACATGAAAAAAAATGATACATGTATCACACTGTGTATCAATTGTGTATCACATATGTATCGAATGTGTATCACATGTATATCCATGTATGCGTGCGTGTGAAATACATGCATGATACATGTGTCACAGAAAAAGTTTTTGAACTCGATTTTAACTATGAATTTTGATACAACATCAGTCCAAATCACCTTCAATATTTCTTAAATTTTGTATATTGACTCATCTATATGTTTTCAATGAATCTCAACCATACCCATTGAAAAAAAGTCCCCTTTTGCTTAGATTTTTGGAATCTTCTATATATATCTTTTTGTATTTTATCACTTTATTTGCTACGTCATCCATAAAATTTTCTATCCGTTTTGCATCTAATGTTGCTAATCACGCTTGAAAATATGGAAGGAGATCTTTGTGTATGATTCTTGGGGGATTTGCATCTATACCCAGTTTTTAGGTCATATTTTAACTTATACCCGCTTTGCAAAAAAATTACAAGCGTACCCACTTTTCGGGTAACTTCAGACATACGGGCCTGAAGTACCAAAAATTTATGTCTGAAGCTTGAACTTCAGAATGTTTTGCCTGAAGTGTAGCCTTATCAAAGCAAAACTTCAGATATTTTTGCCTGAAGTTTGGCCTGACTTGCAAAGGCAATCACGCAAAATTCAGTTCATAGTGCAATGACAAACTTCAGTTCAATAAAACTACAGCATGTTTTGGCTGAAGTTTTTGTTTTGTAATTGCTGAACTTCAGCATTCTAGGAGCTGAAGTTTTGTTTTGTAATTGCTGAACTTCAGCGTTTTAGGAGCTGGAGTTTTGTTTTGTATTTGCTGAACTTCAGCATTCTAGGAGCTGAAGTTTTTATTTTATATTTGCTAAACTTCAGTAGTCTCAGAGCTAAAGTTGTGTTCTGCCTTTCATTGAAGTTAGATGGCTTTAAAATATAACTTAAGCTAAATTGTGCTGAAGTTTTAACTGATTTTTTTGATAATGTTCTGAAGTTATTTTTCCTATCTTTTATTTTTTAGTTCTACAGCCCTTTTCGGTCGTTTTTCCTGCGGATGATATCATAAAGCAAGGGGTAAGATAATTCCAAGAGATCACGAGAGCAACTATTGTGTATAATAAATTTCACATGCATGTGCCATTCGTATGGCAGGTAACTTGGAAGAGAGAGAAGGATGGATCAGGAAAAGACACAAATCACACCTACTTTAACCAGCTTATGGAGTTTTATTTACTCGTCCTTCAACATAGAATATGGTAGTTGATAAGATTTAATAAAAACTTTACATATCCAATAAACAATACTTATACAAAGTCTCATGTGTTTGAGAGAAAAAAGAAGAAGAGGAAAAGAAGAGGAGGAAGAAAGGAGCGCATAGGTCAGGAGGAAGAAGAGGAGGCATCTGAAGTTGTCAAAATTAGGGTATAGGTTAAAGAATTTTAAAAATATGGGTTAAATAGGGACGACCAAATAGTGCGCCCCATGCAATTTTTACATGATTCTTGGAGAGAAAGAACATTATTTCTTTGGTTTTTTAATTTTTATATGTGTTTGGCTAGTTTTGGTAAGTCTATAATTAATGGCTAGAGGTTGATAAGTTGGGACTTTTTTGAGACATTTATGTAAGATTCCCTTTTTTTTAACTCAGGTCCAGAATTAGATAAATACTAAAATTAAGCCGAGACTCGAGGTCCAAAGCTTCAGCCCGAAAATGAGGCCTGGGCTCCGAGTTTTCTCTCTTTCCAAGCAAGCACAAAAGGAGCTCCATCAGCCCATGTAGTTTCTGGATAGTTCTGGACCACATCAGCTGACCCGGATCCGATTGATGGCGCGGCTTCCTTTAAGTTTTCCTTTCACACATGAATTAGGAAAGCCGACTTGTAATTTGTTCTGTCTTATTGCCCAAGCCAGCACCTAAAGTCTAACTCTTATATATAACCATGAAAACTCCATACCGGGGAAACAGAAAAAGAAAAAAATCTGTCAAGGAAGAGAAGAAAGAAAAGCAAAGGAGAAAAACATGGGAGGAGGAACAGAAGCTTTTCCAGATTTAGGAAGCCATTGCCAACATTTTGATNCCCCCCCCACCTCCCACATAGGATTTTGTGAAAAGCTCCAAAATTTATTCCTCAATTATTCAAAATGTTTGACTTTTTCCGTTGTATTTTGAGAATGATCATATTCTTATGGTTAGCAAACCTTCTTGTAATTTTTTTTTTTTAAAACTTTAACGAGACTCTGTCTGGAATGAATTACACGTATCAAAATACTTTAGAGATAAAATCAACATATGTTATACTTTAAGTTAGAGCTTCGTTAAAAGACAGGAGTAAATTCGTGATAGATTTGCTAACATAAGTGTACTATGATTCCAAAGTATAACCGATATTTCGTATAGTAGTTTTTTTTTACCCTCTTTTACCTCTATTCAATCTTCCGTGCAGGTATTTTGTGTAGAGCACAGATCATGCAAGTCTCATGAATGCCCAAAATCCGATATTAACAGCCGAAAAGTTTTGGTTTGCGAAATCTGTTCCATGTCTATTGAAACCACCGGCTGCCAAGGTGAAGATGATAAAGCGATATTGCAAAAACACGAGAAATCTGGGGATTGTGATCCCAAGAAGAAGAAGAAACCTACCTGTCCTGTGAAGAGATGCAAGGAGATTTTGACATTCTCAAACACCAGCACTTGCAAGAGTTGCAGGATTCAAGTTTGCCTCAAGCATCGGTTTCCTGCTGATCACGCCTGCAAACGGAATTCTTCATTATCCCAGCCGTCAGTTAATAACAAGTTTTTGATTGCTCTGGCTGCAAGGAGTGGGAATGATTGTGGGAATAAAAACCGCACATCAACTTCACGCCCCACCACACCTTCTGTTAAAGCTTGTTGATTGTTTCAGAGAGATTGCTATACATTTATCAATTGTCATTTGCAATTATTACTATCATTTTAAGTGCTCATTAATTTGTTTAAATTGTTTTTTTTCTCTTTCCAGAACAACCCTAAAAAACCACAAGGAGGGAACAATCTTAAATTCAGAACAGCATCCTGCCATGTTTTCATTCTTTTCTCATACGCTTGATGAATAGCACTTCCTCCATTTCAGTTTATATGGTCATCTTTGATAAGACGCATAGTTTAAGAAAAGATTCTCCTCTTGAACAATTTTTCTCTAAAATAAACATCAAACACAGAAAATGATGTAGCTATTTTTCCGCCAAAAACAAAGAGAATTTCACTGCTATACACAATATTCTTCCAATACTCCGGCATTTCGACACTGCCCACTATATACATTTCCCAGGAACAACCAGTTCAAAAGCTTCAGCTGCAAAACAATTCCAAGCATTGCATTCAACAAACATAACTACCTTCCTACCACCTGCGTCATTGCTCTTTTATTTTGGGGAAGCATAGCTAGGAGAATCTTCTTCCTCGGTCCCTGCAAATACCCCAGAGTGCAACAATTAAGAGCAAGTATTATCAAAAATTGAAGAGGCACTTGGAGCCCATTGTGCCTTTTCCACACCCTAGACTACAATTCACGTATGAACAAAGAGAAGTTAAGCCCCTCTCCACACCCCCAACGAGAAAAGTATCCGTTTCTCTTCTGTTGAAGAGAATAGGTCATTGTGCTTAGCAAAATCATCATATATTGACTTGCATTCGAATTTGTAATGATTTTTTTTCCCAAAATAAGATGACTGAAATCACAATTACCATAGGTATCCCCAACTCCTTCAGGTCACGGTCCCCCATTTGCTTCAATGCCGCCATGTCTATCTGCGATGGGTAAATAGACTTCACTACGAAAAGATTTAAACTAGGATCTCTCAAATTCTTGGTGAAGTATATAAAACCACTCAAATGACAACAAAAATTGATGCATGGGAACAAACAAATAAAAGAGATGTACTGATTATAAAGTTGAACTATGTCACAAAGGTATGGTTGGGCGAAACAGAAAATGCTTGAGAATGTTACGGGTTAATGGCACACCTTTTAATAGCGAATAGCAATTAGGCAGCTTTCCTCTACACAATGACACATCAAGATAACAAGTAATAATCTCGGATTAGAAGGCCATGATGAGCATATGGAAAAAAGGGAGGATATTATACGAGATTAAGAGCTTGATATCGTGATCACAATAAATAAAAAACAAATATCGAAAGATTTGTCATGTCACATGTTCATAGCACATTACACAAGGTATCCAGCAGTAGCTGTCCAACTTCTCTGAATAGTGAATAACGTGCTAACTGTAGGATATGGGTGCAATAGCGATCAACTAGCTCTTGATCAAACAAAGCCTTCTTTACAAAGAAATAGAAGTTCTCCATCCAACAATGTGATACAACTTAATGCATGATGTTGTTACTTTTGCAAAATACTAGTTCGGCCTTTAAAGCTTCTATGCCACAGTACCAATATTGATAATAAAAATGTTCACAAGGCTGAAATATAATAACAAATAGACCATGACAAAACCAAAACACATGATTCATCAATTAACAAGAGTACTATTCACCTCCTCAGCTTGAAAGTGGATAGCATACTTTCCCAAACCCAGGGAATTTAATAGACTGACCACGGTCACGGGCGGTTGATCCTGTACAACACCAGATAGAAAATATTAAGATCTTTGCATAAACTCATGTCCATTTTCAAATATTTATTCTCTTTTCTCCTCATTCCACGCGTAAAGGGCAATAATACAACTATAACCACAATAGCTGTTAAATGGTGGAGTATGAAAAAAAACATAAAGCATGAAGAATAACAACTAATTCGGTCCTATTTAACAGGCAATGTAGAAGAAATTGACATGGGAATAGACAATTTGGTTTCAAAAGCATTAGAACCCACAATACTTTCAATACTAGGAACATCGATGCAAACAATGCCTTGACACTTCCTATATGTTGCAGGCAGGGGAATAACAACGTGATGAAAAATCGTTCTGATAATAGTAAAACAACAGAGAACTATTTTGAACGAGCATTAGCAACCTAGGCCTTTTTGAACATGGCCTAACAATGCCATACCTACTCAACTTTCATCAAACATTTGATATTCAAAATATAAGCAGTGCTAAATTTCAGCATACAGGGAAAATATAGGCAACAATCTGGACAGACGAAACCATTTGTTAAAGTACTAGGAAGCATGCCAGATGTGCACTAGAACCAAGCAAGAAGAAACATCTATCGCCATAAATGATCTACTAATTTAAGTATGTTGTTTGTGGTGTTCTCCAGAAAGACAATAACTAAAGAGGTCAAACATCATGATCTTGAATGTCATATAGAATGCCTAATTTTGCATTCTCCGGTTGAAGTCAAAATGTAGTGTACGTGATACAAGATAAGACTAGAACTGTACCACAAATAATACAAGATAGAAAAGCAGTAAATAAACAATAAGTCGGTTCCTACAGGATATGAGCTTTGTAGCATGCTTCCATTTGCAGAAGAAAGACCTAGCATCGATTTCCCGGCATCTAGTGTGGACCTCATGGTCATAGGGGTAAGACCTTTTAATGAGGAAGGGTTCAGGTCAGCTCTCAACATACCAACTGCTCTTGAGGTTTCAGCTGGCCTTATTGATAGTACATGCTGAGCTGCAGTGATATTGCTTGGTGACAAGATCTCTCTAGAATCTTTTGCAAGTCTATTTGGGGATCTTGGTCTTACACCACCATAAGTCTGTGATGCATAGGAGGATCTCATTGCCTCCATCTGGTGCAACTCACTAGCTCCAGATGATCGTTGGCCTACAGTGACAAGCTTCCTATGAGACTGTTCTGCCGATCGAACATTTTCTGCCATCATCTTATGCTGCTCTTTTTTTCTTTTTTCAATCTCCAGAATAATTTCCTTTTGCCTTCTTCTGCGTATTAGTTTCAGTCGGAGGTCATTTTGCCCCACCCTTACATCTTCACATAGCAGAAACAGTAGAAAAATCAGGTAATGTGATAGACCAAGGACTAACACGTAAAACTAAAATATATTTTTCAAAAGTTAAAAGAACCAAAAAAAAAAAAAGAGATGAAACCAAAAGATAATTAAGATAATACCATTAGGGCCACCATATCCGGAATTCCCTGCACGATTCCCTGCACCTCCATACTCCCGCACACTTGAAAAAAAATGGCAGCAAAACTACCACTCTCAGATAAAATGATAATCAATTCAATCTGAAGCAACTTTAACTTTCACAATGTCATCAGTTACCACAGAAAGATATAAGCATTCAGTATCACTGTTACCAATAGTTTAAATATAATGTGTTCATAAGTCTCTGATAGTTTTACTATCATCTGAATCAGTCAAAACATAACTAAAAAAATAAACAGCAGACACTAGCTCTACCAAAACTATTAGACAGAGCAACAATAATGATTGTACCGTTTGCGAAGTGATAGAGAAGGATCCTCAGAGTCAGTCTTATAGGTCTCTCCTAGTGATCTTTTGCCTCCTGACAATCTTTGTTGACCAAAACCAGTTCCCTGAGAAGCTGACGATCGCTTCACCACCTTCTTCGGATTTTAAGAGTCGCAAAAATGTTTAATTAGGAACATTGAACCCTAAAAAGCAACTAAGTAGTAAATTCCTAAAAGGTTTAACTCTGTAAAAGAAAGGCGAAACTAAATTCCAATAAGAGAGGAACATAAGTCTGATGCTTGATAAACAACATTCTGATGCAAAATAAGAGTGAAAAATCGAGAAAGCTCACTTGACCAGAGCGGCCCAATGTGATAGTAACCTGAGGCCTTGACATTTTCGTTTGTTTGAGATGGTCTCAGCTAAAGCACAGCTAATAACCTTTTGGATTGATCAAATGCTTTCACAAAATCTGCAAGGAATACAGCTAAAAGATTAAATGATCGAGAGTCAAAAACGAAGGAACCCTAGAATCGCATTTGACGAAGAATCAGATACCTGGTTTTACTCCATAGTTCCGGACTTGAGTCTTCACTCTTCAGTAAGGTCGCAATAAGATTTGTGTTTTTTGTCTCTCTTTTCCCCCATTTATTTGTCGAGAGCGCGTCCACCGTAGTCCCATGACACGCGCCACAGTATTGTGCCACGCATACTTGGCAATACTACATGTTTACTATTTGTATTAAGTACTACTAGTAATAATAAGTAAGAATGTACATAATTTAGTACTAATAATATTTATATATCTATTAAATTGAAATATAGTGAGAATAAGTTTTTACCCTACAGGACATGCCATACATGCCACGTTGCTTGGCAATGCTGTACTATTTACAATTTTCACCAGCGTAAATAATTCAGTATTTGATCCCACGAGCAGTTAAATTTTGACTATAATTTCTGCTTCATCGTTAAAACAATTATTACTTCTTCTTCCCAACTTCCTTTCAATAAAAGTCTGTCAGCCAGGTAACTGTGAAGAAAGTGTTTTTAAACTCTAAAATGAAGGTATGTTGGTCAACAAGGTGAAAGAACTCGGACAAATCCTGATTTTAAATGAGACGGGTTCTTTCCTTCCCTGTCCAGTAAAGTGTACAAAAGTGGTTTCGTGTTCCACTGAGATAGAACCGTAGAACAGACTCGTGTATTCGTTATTCCTTTTTTATGGGTCCTTAATGTTATCAAATATCAATGGTCTTCTTATTTTCCCCTTTTACTTGGTATAAACTCTGTGCTTTATGTTTTTTGTTTTCTCCTTGTTCTCGCTAACAGAAAAACCTTAAAACGCTAATGATGGATAAAGAATCTCTCCCTCATGTCATTTGAGCAGTACAGACCAGTAAATCATACCTGGAGGAAGCGCATACAAGTCCACGATACATAATTGACGTTGAATATAAACGGGCTTACGTTGAGAAAGTGAATGATGTATTTTAATTTTAAATTTAACGCATCATGCACCAGAGATTGAACTACAGAAAGCATCATTTGGAAATTATAAAAGCCAGTTTCGATCCA